TTAACATTTAAATGGACTATAACTCATTTTAAAATGTTCTCAATGGTTTTAATGAAAAAATGAACAGAGTTAAAACATGGGCGCCAATCCTGGTCCCAAAAAGTGAGGCCTGAGGCCTCTTTTTCACCGGTCCGGTCTCGGTCCCAACCTAAAATCTTAATTCAAAAATCGGTCATTATATTCCCGTGTATTTTCCTCGTTAGAAAAGTTTCATCAAGATTTCTACAATCTCAGATATATTTCCGAACTTTTAAAAGTAACAGAGATTTATTGTTTTAAGTCGTACCTTTCGATTGTGTCTGTTACTATTCCTATAATTTTTCTCACATGTCGATGTAGTTATGTACCTAATAAATTTGTCAATAATAAGGATTATTTCATTAGAAAGTATGTGTGCTTGCAAAAAAAAGTATGGTGGAAAGGTTCTTAATACATATAAATTTATTAATTATCATATTAAATTTGCAAGTGAGAAAATTTATAAAACTAAATTTATACTTTTGCTAAACGCAATTAAGATTTACTAAACTTTCATTAAAGGATAAAGAGGGGGGTGGGGGGTGGGTGTAAGTGTATATTTTTAATAGTGCAGGGGTCTAGGTGATAATACGCGAAATCTCGAGGGAGGTCAATGATAATTTCCCTTTAAAAATTGAAATTCTGATTGAATACAATTGTTTAGAAGATGACATATGCCAAAAGTTTCCTAACTTATATCTTTGAAATGTATTATTTAAATGCAACATATCAAGATATATATAAACAAAATTAAAATAAGAGATATCTGAATGTTGGATCAATACTTCAATAGTAGTGAAAAATGAAATAAAACAACATAGATGAGTCATGTGTATAAAATAAGACTTAAATAGACCAGACTTAAACATATTAGGCTAAACTTCCGTAGTTATAAAATACACAGAAATCACAAATTTACCAGATCAGTTCAGACCAGACCAGACCTGACAAGATTTAAACAGATCAGACCAGACTACACCAACAAATTTCAGTTCAAGTAAAGACATCCTGACTCCCTATACTACTTGGTGGTTCAATAGCAGAGAAAAAATGGAGAAAAACATACTCTATATACAAATATTCTAAAGTTATACACCATATATAATTTTTTATTTCGCGTAGGAATTGTGTATAATTAAAATAAATAAAATTGAAGTTATTTTTCTAACTAAATTTATTGTAATTATTGCATAGAATCATTCTAATTATTTTTCACATAATTATTTATTTATTTTATTAACAAAATACATTTTAAATATTACTCCCTCCGTCCCTCTAACTTTGTCCTGTTTTACTTTTTTCGTCCGTCCTATTAAGTTTGTCTTATACCATATTTGGTAATACTTGAGTGGTTAGAAACTTAGAATTGATTCTTACTTTATACACACTTTATCAATTCGATATCAACCACACAATTCAATTTTTTCTTAAAAACGACACCACCTTGCTTTGTCGTAGTACACTAGTACTTCCTACTTCGTATTTATTTACTTCGTATAATTGATAATTCAATAGATGTTGCTAATTCAATTTTCTGCAAAAAGTCTCCGCCAGAATCCTTTCAAAAAGAAAGAAGTCTCCGTCAGAATCTTGTGCAAGGTCTTCTAGTCTTGTAGATAGAGCGTCACCTGGAACACATTCAAACAATTCAACTCCTTTCTTTCTCCAATTCGAGTGTTACTCCTATGAAGAGGTCTGTAATTGTGTGTGGATTGGGAAGGCTGCCGTCGTCGTCTCTTCGACCCGTTCCCCTTGCTGAGACCCGCCGGCCATGCAAAACAATGGCCGCCGGATCCAAAGCTCGTCTACTGGATGAGCCTCCCTCTGCATCATCTCGTGAAGACGCCACATCTGACGAGGAGGGCGACAAGAATCCCGAGCTAGACGAGCTTGTTCAAAAACTACAGAAACCTCAATCAGAACCCAATTACGTCTCTGGAGGACAGGGCGAGGAGAAAACAAGCCATGCATCCGCTTCGGACTCCTCCGAAGAGCAATCAGATTCCGATTCCCCGGAAGTTCAATCTTCACCTTCTGCATCTGGCTGCACCTTACTGCCTCATCCAACTTCCTCCCAAAAGCGTGTCTTGGATGCCGAAGAGAAAGGTTTAGAGAAGCTGAAGAAGGTCAAACATGTGGAAGCAGATGCCTCTGTCAAGGAAAAGGAATCTGCAGATGACCAGCTGAGGAATGCAGTTAATCACAATGCATCTCTCAAAAATGCATTAAATGCCAATGGGATGGGGAAAAGTCCTGGTGATGTCCAGGAAAATGATGAACAAGCTGATGTGGTTGAAAAAGTTAAGGATGTTCAGTGCAAATACCCTCTCTTGGTTAATCATCTGAACAAGGAATTCTATCCATGGATGTCTGACGCGGCATTGGATATGTTGAAGGAGAAAGTGAATTTGACGGAGAGTTCCCGGGCCGCTGAGGTTGAGGAGAAATGGACCAAGCTGTTGAAAGAGCATGTTGAAATTTGTGCGAAGGTCGCAGAGTTGGTAGCTCTGCAGACTAAAATGGTGTATGATGCTATGAAGAAGTAATTTGGAGTACTATGAGGAAGGCTTCGTAGATGCATGTTCTTATTTTGTCTTGTAGGCTTTTTGCACAGTTGAAAATTGAACTTGCAAAACGGTTGTTTTCTAGCTTATGTTGAATGCTGTTTGTGGTTCAATATATGAGATTGTGATTTTGCATTTATGGGTTATATAAATTTCTAGGTTTAGTCAATGGGAAAAAGTGTCTAGATGCTTTCTAAAAAGCTTGACTCTTAGGATGAAGCCTCGTGTGTAATTGTGTTAACCCTCCTATGTATGTAGTATTTATTTTCCTCTCATATTACTCTTTTTTCTTCAATTTTAATAGGTTAGTTTTCAGCTTTGTTAATTAAGATGGTTATTTTTTGTTTACATATGGTTAGAGCATAAACTAATCCATGAACTACAAGAGAAGGCCCCAGGGTTTGTATTTGAATTTTTCTGTCTTTTAACCTCCAAAGGTCGCAACCAGACTTACATGAACATATTTTGTTTTCCAAGAAGAAATTTTGTAGTGGATGCTGCTGCTTAACCTGAAGTTCCCATTGATAATTCCCTGTGTCTTGGCCGTCCTTCCTACTATCCCTAGCATTCCTCACAGGCACTTGACTAATGGATGCAACTTAATTCACTTGTGATCAGCAGCATGTCATAAATTGTCTCATGCTATTTCAATATCTCTTCAATTCTTCATTACAGTTAACATTAGAGTTCATGTTATGCTCTGTTTGCCCCATGGTTTAAAAAGGTGCTTACAGGGTGGGGTTTGAGGCGTGCCACAAGTTCGACTATTTTAAGTTTTGTTTGATGGTTAAATTTGAGGCTTACGCCTCAATTGTTTTTTTGTACTATTCTCCTTGTCACCTATTGCTTCCAGCTTTATATTGGTAAATCGTAAAGCTACTAGGTGGTAATTGATGGAGTAAAAATCATAGGGCAGAGTAGGTTGGTTTTTAGGAAGACCTCCCCATAAGAAATACTGGAAGAATGACTAGATAGGTCTTCCCCAGGCAAGGTAATGAGGTGGAAAGAGGCCACAATATGATAGTTACGTCTGTAAATCAAAGTGAGTTTCTGAAGAAAGCTTTTATTGTATGACTTGCATAGTTGATAAAGAGCATGCAATTGCTTCTCATATCTGTTCTACTGGTCAATATGAACTGAGGATCAAGTATGATCTTCTTTAGGGGTAGGCATTGTGATGCCAGGGAATGCATTTAAATCCTAGTATATATCTGATGGATGGAGAAAACAAATCACCATCAGCTACACCATCCAGTGAGGGTGGAAGGTGGATCAAAGTCTAAGAAAGTGGTTGACAAAATTGAAATTCAAAACCACAGTAATTTCTCTGCGGGACAAGATAATTTGAGCAATGAGCAGCGATCAAGGTTATAATTCTGAAAATGTGAAAGTAGCTATCAGTGTTGTGGCTGATGACTTAAACATAGCTAGAGATGCTTTGGAATCCTCAGTTCATGAAACTAAAGGTTTATGATACTTCTAAATTTGTTATTTTTCCAACCTTCTAATCTTCAAGTTGTACTGCTCCTGTTGTACTGACAGTCATTTTTTAAACATTTTTTTTCTTAGTGTTAGTGTCCAACCTGTCTGCAGATGATGCAGATAAGGATCCAACGTGTGATAATAGACTAGAATTGTGTGTGATGCTATGAAGTGGTCACTTTGGAGTGCTATGAAGAAAAGTAACTTTGTAGATGCAAGTTCTGTTATTTTGTCAAGTAGGCAATTTGCATGGTTGAAAATTGAACTTACAATACCCTTTGTTCTCTAGCTTATGTTGAATGCTATTTGTGGTTCAATTTATGAGATTGTGATTTTGCATTCATGGGTTAAATAAATTTAAAGGTTCAGTTTATGGGGAAAATGGTCTCTAGCTGCTTTCTAAAAAGCTTCACCTCTTAAGACGAGCCTCATGTTTAATTGTGTTAATGCTCTATATCTGTTTTCCTCTCATATTACTCTTTGTTCTTCAATTTTAATAGGCTATTTTCAGCTATATAACGTAAGATGGTTATTTTTTGTTTACATATGGTGAGAACATAAACTAATCCATAAACTACAAGAAGAAAGCCCCAGGGTTTCTATTTGACTTTTTTGTCTATTCACCCCCAAAGGTTGCAACCAGCCTTACCTTAACATATTTTGTTTTCCCCGAAGAAATTTTGTAAAGGATGCTGCAGCTTAACCTGAAGCTCCCATTAATATGACAAAGTTTTCCCATAGCATCGACCCAATAATGGTTCTCATCATCGGAGTAATAAACTACACAACAATAAGGTAGATTTTTTTCATGATATATAAATGCAATAAGAAGAGAAAGGTTCACAAAAATCACCACCAAAGATTGGTTGAAACGTGAAAGTCAATACTTCCATTCACCCCTAGAAGGCATGACTTTTTTTTAGTGCTCATGTGATTAATTAATGTAATCTTTGTCCATTTTTTAGCACCCATCCGTTTTCATTTTCGGATTTCATTAATCAATATGAAAGCCAATACTTCCATTGATCCCTAAGAAGGCAGGACGTTTTTAGTGTTTATGTGATTATTAATGTAATCTTTGTCCATTTTTTAGCATGCATTCGTTTTCATTTCGGATTTGATTTTTGTGGTTCAATAAGATTGTAGTGGTATGGCTTTGAAGGCGAAGGAAGTGAATTCCTGAAATTAGCTATGGCCTATGGGTAATATAATGTAACTTGTTTGTGTGTATAGAATTGGTAACTGGTAAGGAACCCTTAATCCAGAAGGGTGTGCCACATAATGTGTTGGACACAGATCTGGATTTCTGAAAATAGAACTGGCTAAATTCAAGCTATCCCATGTGAGAAAGTCCTTGCTTGAAAGTAGTTGCCTTCTCTAGAAGCCTAAAACCCTTATGCTATGTCAATCAGCCTCATACTTTTCTTATGAGGTGAAGTTGGTAGTTTATTAGGTCTCTCAGTCTCTGCAAAGCAAGATGGAAGGTTTTTCCTTATGTTTCAGAAAGCTTTAGATACAAATTGAAAGTAGAAACTATTCTCATCTGCAAGCTAGTCCAGAGAAATATGATGGGGATAAGGGACAAGTATAAGAGAGTGAGCGAGTAATTGAACTTCAAGTTGTTACTCCGCTATGCTATATGACAATAGAAGTGGATGACTTGTGTTGCTGTATTGGCCAACAATGCCCATGGGGGGGGGGGGGGGGGGGCACAAAGGAAGGCCCATCCAAATGGCTTGTAGAGCTAACTAACGTGATCTCTTATATTCCTTGCGGATCTTGTTATCATTCCTATTTGTGTTCTTGGGCTAACAAACATGCACATGCACACTTAGAGAGAGACACATTACCAAAAAGATGTTTTGTTAATGAATCTAACAGGGTAGATATATATGTGTGTCTGTAATAAACAAAAAAGATGACAGCAACTTTGAACAGTGATAGCAATATCAATAGAAGGCGTAGACCTTATCTTTTGTCATTATTTATCCCTTTTATTCATCTGGCCTGAGACCATACAGTTATGGTGGGGTACTGGGGTTAAAGTGTGAGATCGGGAAAACTCTCAACGGTGTGATCTTAGATTAAACAGCCCGACATCATACCGTTCTTGGAGAAAGGATGAGAAGGGAAGTCCAATAGTTATACATGGTTTGAAAAGCATCATCATTCACAAGGAAGATAACTTTGATAGTATTGATTTTGTTACAAGTGTGCTGGTATGTGAAACAGCATCCATCAAAGCTACTTTCTGTGTCTTTAACAGAGGTCCACACTTGTTTACCAAACATAACAAAAAGTTGCAGAACTTCAAAGACTTGGAGAACTTTCGGGCACACTCGCAAGCGCAATAAACCAATCGGTCAACCGAGTCTTGAGTCAAAGGAATGTCATGGTTTAGAATATTTTGCATCAAAACAAATAATGATTCTGTCCATACCATTTCACTGCCAATCAAACATTGGTGACACGGAAGGCAAATTAACTTAGGGTCAACTTCCTGTTCACATATGAGTCTCTGACAGAGGGATGAAGCCTGACCAGGGTGCAGACATTCCTTCACGATCCTAGTAATAACATCACAAATCGGATTGTTTATGCCTCCATTTTTTAGCATCAATGGAAGCAACAGAGCATACTCCGCCGCTTTCTGATAAACCTTGCAGTATTCCACAATTGCTGTTATCAGCACTCGAGATGCAGGTTCGTGGAGCTCTAAAAGTTTGGGGAGAACAAATGAGCAGAGAATAAAACTCGACCAAACATGCTCATCTTCCTTTTCACCCACCAGGTGGGAAATTAGAATAGAGACTGTCTCATCATCTGCCTTCCAGGGTTCAATCAAGCTTAAAATCGCCAAAGCATCATTCCCTCCTCCTTTGGTAAGCCGTTGTATTTCCCTGGCCATTTCTATTGTATGAAATGTAGATTCAGAGTTTAGTATCTTGAGTTTCAGGCAAGCTGCCATTTTTTCCACTCCGGGATCTAAAGAAGCATCATCTTCAGAAGAGCTGACGCTGCCTTCTTCCATTACTTCATCTAAATTATCTTCTTTGTCCTCTTCAATTTCAACAACCAAATCATCATTTTCACTGGAACTACTGAATTGCATTCTTGAAATGAGTTCATTCCGGGATATTGGCAGCCATGGAAGAACCTTATCACTCTTACCAGCAACATCTTTAAGCCAAGCCGGCAAAGATCCAAATTCATCCTCCAATTCTGAGCAAGAAGCCCGCTCACATTTTGAGTCAGACACAACATCAAGCAGCTGCTGTGCAGCGCTCTTTACCCAGAAATCAAGCTCCAATCCGTCACGCAAAGTCTTCTCAGCCAGACTACACAGGTCTCTTTTACGGAACTTTCCGCTCTCATATGAAAGAAACGACAGTATGCGAGCTTGAACTGCATCGGGCAGCGTCCTTATCCACATAACACTATCCCCAAACAGATCACAATTAGAAGCTCATCTCATCTTAGGAGAACATAAAGACGAAAGAAATGACAAACAAAGAGTACCTTTTTGTGTGGTTTGATGGAGATGGAGGGTCTACGATATTGACGTCAATATTCCTTGTAAGTAGTGAAATGAAAGAAGTTGTTGATATGGATGGAGACGCGAGCTTGAAAGATTGTTGGAGCCACAGAGAGGCGTCGGTTTCTGGGCATGTCGAGTTCAAGAAAATATTGAAAAGAGGAACCCAAGACTCCATTTTCATTTTTCCAGCGGGCGACTGGTCAGGAAGGACAGAAATCGGCTTTGGTGACAGTCGTGGTTCACTTCTAATTAAATAGGTAGTAATAGGGAGTAGAAATCTTAGGAAAAACTGTCAAATAAGTCCTTAAACTTTCATAAAAAAGTCAATTAAGTCCTTCTATAGGAGTCTCTGTCCAGTCGTCGCAATTTGGGGCGGTTCCCATTGGAATTTTTTTATGAAATATTTTGAGCATCATATTCATCAAGTCCAGTTTACTCATACCAAATTTCAGCTAAAAATTTAATCGAGAGCGCATTCAAATTAATTCGAGAACGCAAAAAAGCGTAATTATCTTCAAGAAGCGTTAGATCGAATTTTGAGCTAATCTGATGCCATATTGAGGATTACAATGTCTTGGAGATGAAAACGATTTTATTGAAATATAAAGAAAAAAGACTGGAGAGTCAAATAACTACCTAAAGTCTTGGGAAACTGATTAATGTAGTGAATTTTGGTGGTAGCTAGGTATTAAATAACAACCTAAAGTCTTGGGAAATACATCAAATGCAAAACATATACGCGTAATTAAACCTTTATAAACCTTAACAAACATTTTCATGTTCATGTGCATTGCAAAGAATACTGGCAGTTTTAAAATGAATAGAAAAACTGAAATATAACAATAATTAATAAAAATACCAAGTGTAATAAAGTGTCAAAAATAGAGAATTCACGAAATTGCAACTAAAAAAGTCTAACATATCCAAGGAGCAATCATAAAAAATTGTAACTAATCAATCAAAATAACTATAAGAAGTAATTCTAATAGTGTAATTAATATATGTATTGAATTAATCAATATCAAACCCCAACATGTGCTCCTTTGACTTCTTCAAGAGTGCCTCACGAAGATTTCTGAATTCATTCAAAGCCAAATACAATGTCATCTTAAGTCTTGTACCATCATCAACCTGTAAATTTTAAGAAAATTATCACATAATTAATCTCAATCTGTTTTAGCTTTGTAGATTAAAGTTTGTCAATGATATGTTTTACCTCAATCTTGTATTCATCACTACCCATTGACACCATCCACGTGCAACCCACACTCCACAATCCTTTATGTTATAATGTTAAAAATTAGAAAAACGTTGAGCTGTGTATGTACTCGGATAATTTTTTAATATGTCAAAACTTACGATCCAGGCTATTGACGGCTTAATCCACTTGGTGTGACATTGAATTGTGAAACCACATGTCTACTTGTTTGTTTAAACTCGTAGAAAGAACAATCTTGCAGCATATCTTTTATATATTGTGTCTGAAAAATAAAGGATTAAATAACCTTTTAAGAATCATGGTGTATACTTAAAAATATGATGCGCTTAGATAATTATTTCCCACTTTGCTAATGCTTCCATTTCTTAGGTTCATTCGTAACGAATTAGGACACGAATCAATATATATCAATTGTTGCTTCTCAAAATCAATCGCGAGCAAATACCAGTGAAAGTTTCCATCATTGATTGGAACAAAGACCTAAGGTAAAATAAGTTAATAACTTCTAAAAATTATGTGATTCTTTTTTCATAGTAAATTTAAGAATGTGGATGATTTTATATAAAAAATGTATGTACCTTGCGTAAGATATCGACTTTGTCCATCAATATATGTTTATATTGTGAAAGGATTTTTTGTATGACCAAGTCAAAATTGATTGTTGTGAAATTGAAAACAATAAAAGCATTCATAACTCCTAATTTGGTGTTAAGAAATAAACATTTGTACGTTGGATTAATATCCTTACTGAAAATGTAGTTGACAAAAAACAATGTCCTTTGTACGTGGAAGTCGACCTTTCTTTCAGGGTGAGTATAGATACATATAAGTTAATAACCTGTAGTGACGAGCCTAACTATTAGACTTTTACGGTTATTTTTAGTAAAGTTGAAGAATGTTCTACTTACGTCTTGTTCGATAGTTATAACGGTCTTGCTCGAAGCAGCAACAAGGACACCAATATTACAACAATAAGTTTTGTTATGTGATGGGAAGATATAAAAGAAAAAAATCTTAAAAACAGTAAATGTTTTATTACCTATCATCTAGTGATGATTCATTTTTGAAAAATATATATGTTGCCACATCCACTTCTTCATCGGTCAAGATTGTACTTTGTTTTGTCTTGAACATCCTCGATAAACACTACCAAATGATGAAGAATTAGATAGTAACATAATATAAAGGCAATTGAAAAAATAAAGCTACAAAATTGCATATTATTATACTTACTTGTGGTATATTGGTTCCCATCAATGTTAAAACATTTTTTCATTAACTTATGGAGTTGTGGGTTGATATAGTAAATTGTTTGTGCACATGTTGTTGTTAACACATGCCACAAGCATTTTTCCGTGTTGTATAAAAAATAGTTCCATGCTCAGTCTTTTACTTGATTCTCCAACATGAAATTTATGTGATGTGCGGTTTTGTTGCTGAGCGTTGAGCGATAGGATCTGTGGTGGTGTGTGTCATGGACTTGGTTGTTGTCTTTGGTTAAGAAAGCTCTCCTTTAAGCCATCAATTGATTGAATGACGTTGTCAATAATAGATTCCATGTGAAGGAGAGATTCCTTAAGAAAATGAGATCTACTATTGACAACGTCATTCGATCAATGGATAGCTTAAAGGAGATCTTCCTTAACCAAAGCCAACAATCGAGTCTATGACACACACAACCACAGATCCTACCTCTCAACGCTCAGCAACAAAACCGCATATCACATAAATTTTATGTTGGAGAATCAAGTAAAAGATTGCGCAGGAAACTATTTTCTAAAAAACATGGAAAAATGCTTGTGACATGGTATTGACAACAACATGTTCACCAACAGGTTACTACATCAACACACAAGTTAATGAAAAGGTGACTTTAACAATGATGGAACCAATATACCACAAATATGTAGAATAATATGTAATTTTGTATCTTTATTTTTTCAACTGCCTTTATATTATGTTACTATCTAATTTTTCATCATTTGGTGGTGTTTATCGAGGATGTTCAAGCCAAAACAAAGTACGTTCTTGACTGATGAAAAAGTGGCAGTGGCAACATATATTTTTTTCAAAAAAGAATGACCACTAGATGATGGGCAATAAAACATATACTGTTTTTAAGATTTTTTTTCTTTTATATCTTGCCATCACATAACAAAACTTATTGTTGTAATATTGGTGTCCTTGTTGCTGCTTAGAGACATTGGTCAAAATGGATTTGGATATTTGCGATGGAAATAGGAATTCACTTTTCAATTTGATTCCTAACATAATGATCGAGCAAGACGGAAGTAGAACATTCTTCAACTTTACTAAAAATAACCGTAAAAGGCTAGTGGTTAGGTTTTTCACTACATGTTATTAACTTACATGTATCTATACTCACCCTGAAAGAAAGGTTGACTTCCAAGTACAAAGAACATTGGTTTTTGCTAACTAAATTTTCGGTAAGGATATTAATACCACGTACAAATATTTATTTGTTAACACCAAATTAGGAGTTATGAATGTTTTTATTGTTTTCAATTTTACAACAATCAATTTTGACTTGGAATGCTCCCATACAAAAGCCTCTTTCACAATATAAACATAGATTTATGGGCAAGGTCGATATGTTACGCAAGCTACATAAGTTTTTTATATAAAATCTTCCACATTCTTAAATTTATTTACTTTGAAAAAGGAATCACATAATTTTTAGAAGTTATTAACTTATTTTACCTTAGGTCTTTGTTCCGATCAATGATGGAAACTTTCACAGGTATTTGCTCGTGATTGATTTTGAGAAGCAACAATTGATATATCTTGATTTGTGTCCTAATTCGTAACAAATGAACCTAAGAAGTGGAAGCATCAGAAAAATGGGAAATAATTATCAAAGCGCATCATATTTTTAAGTATGCACCATGATTCTTAAAAGGTTACTTAATACTTTATTTTTCAGGCACAATATATAGAAGACATGCTGCAAAATTGTTCTTTCTACGAGTTTAAACAAACAAGTAGACATGTGATTTCAGAGTTCATATTAAACAAACAAGTAGACATGTCAAACCAAGTGGATTAAGCCGTCAACATCCTAGATCGTAAGTTTTGTCATATTAAAAAAATATCAAGTACATACACAATTCAACGGTTTTCTAATTTTTAACATTATAACAGAAATGATTGTGGAGTGTGGGTTTGCCCGCACGTGGATGATACCAATGGGTAGTGATGAATACAAGATTGAGGTAAAACATATCATTGACAAACTTTAATCTACAGAGTTAAAACAGATTGAACTTAATTACATGATAATTTCCTTTAAATTTACAGGTTGATGATGGTTCAAGACTTAAAATGAGATTGAATTTGGCTTTGAATGAATTCAGCAATCTCCATGAGGCACTCTCGAAGAAGTCAAATGAGCACATGCTTGAGTTTGATATTGATTAATTCAATACATGTACTAATTAAACTATTAGAATTGGTTCTCATAATTATTTTGATTGATTAGTTATAATTTCTTATGATTGCTCCTCAAATATGTTAGACTTATTTAGTTTCAATTCCTTGAATTCTCTATTATTGACGCTTTATTACACTTGGTATTCCTTATTAATTATTTTACATTTCAGTTTTTCTATTCATTTAAAATTGTTAGTACTCTTTGCAATGCACTTGAACATGAAAATGTTTGTTAAAGGTTTATAAAGGTTTAATTACTTTTTCAGTAGGACCTATTTGACAATTTTCCCAAATTTTTATATTCTTTAATTAATCTATTGTTATATTTCAGATTTTTCTATTTCGCGCATATGCTTTGCATTAATGTGTTTCCGAAGACTTTAGGTAGTTATTTGACTCTCCAATCCTCTTTCTTCACATTTCAATAAATTCTTTTTCTTCTCCAAGACACTATAATCCTCAATATGGTACCATATTAGCTCATAAATCGATCTAACTCATTTGCCCTCATCTCAGCTTCATCATATTACTAGATCTTTTCTCTTTCAGTCTAGTCTCCCTTTATCTTTTTAGTCTGATTGCATTATGGATGCAGTTCATATCATTAATAGGTTACCAACTATTGTTCTGTAAGGTAAAAGTCCTTTTGAAATCTTATATGGCAATCCACCTGACTATTCTCAATTGAGAGTCTTTAGTACTTATGCTTATGCTTATACTTCTCAAGACCGTCCGTTACATTGTTATATTCATAAAACATCTTAACACTACATTACTTGCAGCTCCAAATTAAGATAGTTAATAAATGTTAATAATGACATGCACACGTTACGTCTTGTTCATTACATCATTGTCTGACGGTTTGATCCGATGGTTTGATGACTCATCATAAAGATTGGTCAACCTTATTAACTTCTTAATTTATTATATTAATGACTATATTAAAACATAAAAAACAACCATATTATGTCTTATAAATGTACCATTAACTTATTTCATGATGCACGTCCTAACAACCATATTATGTCTTATAAATGTACCATTAACTTATTTCATGATCAATTTGCATAGGTGTAGAATCAAACGATCAAATATATGATCTAACAAGGTTCTAACTTCTAAAACACGAGATTCTAAGTTTAAATTTGACGTAAACAATTAAGTTATTAATAACAAGGGTTCAGATTTTACTTGATAAAAAAGGGGGTTCAGATTTTACAAGTTTAAATTTAACTTGTGTATGCACAATTATATATTCACTATACTGACTAATAAGAAACTAAATGCAGAAATTTAATTATGGTACGTATATAGTATTATAAAGTATTTCTAGGGAAAATTGTCAAATAGGTCCTCGAACTTTCATAAAAAGGTCAATTAGGTCCTTCTATAGGAGGTTCTGTCCGGTTGTCGCGATTTGGGGCAGTTCCCGGTGGAGTTTTTTGATGAAATTTTTTGAGCATCTTATTCACCAAGTCTAGTTTACTCATACCAAATTTCAGCTAAAAATTCAATCGGGAACACATTCAAATTAATTCTTGAAGATAACTGCGCATTTTTGCGTTCTCGCATTAATTTGAATGCGCTCCCGATTAAATTTTTAGCTAAAATTTAGTATGAGTAAACTTAGGCATGGCAATGGGTCGGGGCGGGTATTGCAAGACCCAGACCCGCCCCGTGACTTGGCGGGGCGGTCCGCCCCGCCCCGCCCCGCCCCGTGACGTGCACGGGTCCAAACTTGTTGACCCATGACCCGCCCCATGCGGGGCGGGTCCGCCCCGCCGCAACCTAATTAGCTAGTTTGTATTTTTATTTGTGGGAAGTTGTTACCAATTGAATCTACATAATGTTCTCTAAATAATAATTAAAAATCAATATATTAAATCAAATTCATGATACGATAAAAATTTCAAAAATTAAGGAAAAATTACTCAAACTTGAATAGTTAATCTAATTAGTTATATTAATAATTGAATAAATGTATTAAAATTCTACATATAAAGAAAACATTGATAATCCGCCATCCATCTCATTCTAATATATACTTATTTATATATTATAAGATCAAAGAATTTATGATTTATTGTATACACACATATGTATGTTGAAGTATATTTGTAGTATAAGTTAAGAAAAAATATGTATACTTATATATTGAGCGGGTCGGGGCGGCACGGGTCAATTCTAATACCCGGACCCGCCCCATTGTATAGGCGGGGCGGGGCGGACCCGCTCCATTTGCAAGACGGGGCGGGGCGGACCCGCCCCATTTGCAAGACGGGGCGGGGCGGACCCGCCCCAAATGTCCCGGGCTAGGGCGGGTTATTGCGGGTCGGTTTTTTTGACATCCCTAAGTAAACTAGACTTGATGAATAAAATGCTCTAAAATTTTCATCAAAAAGTTCCACCGGGAACCGCCCCAAATCGCGATGACCGGACAGAGTCTCCTATAGAAGGACTTAATTGATTTTTTTATGAAAGTTCGAGGACCTATGTGACAATTTTCCCGTATTTCTATTTCTAAATATATTTAGAATTTCAAGAAAATTGAAAACGCCGTTTCCCCCTTTAATTTAAGGATACGTAGCAAGTTATCTAAAAAAAGCCAATGATTTTTGAAAGATATATAGGCAACGAATTTTCTAAATAAGCAAATTTTTCCATTCTTATATTTATACAAAGTATATGACAATTGACAAGAATGAGTATAAATAATGTTATGACAATAATAAGAGTATAATTTAGTATTAAGGTAGAACAACTTACAGATGACGACGACTAGATGCAAATCTGATGACTTTGTAATGTAAGGGAAGGACGATCAAAGCAACAGTTGGTTCAAAGCCCTGCCTCTGCCCGTCGTACCTTCTACAACACAAAAGTCCATAATTAAAAGACACCAAGATCCGTAGGTCTTTCAAGGATTCAAGAGACATATTCGGACTTATTGACGGGTCAACGGGCACGAATGTATGGGATCCGGGGCCTCTGCCTTGCTTTAAAGCAAGGTAGGGTGCCCGGTTCTTCCGGGCCGTTTGATCGGAAATTTGACAGTCAAAGATCTTGGGCTCCACCCCTTCCCCGATCTCCAGATCGTTCTCGTCCCCTCCCTGCCATCCTATGCGGCAAGGCACTCTACCTTATGGCAAAGGATCCGAATCCCGAATGTATGCACTGCACGTAGCGGAAGTCTTTGATAGTTTGGAGAACCATGAATCTTCAATGAGATCCTTAATCTCCTTACTCACAGCCTTACATTTATCTATCGCTGTTAGAGTTGATCGAGTCAGAATCTCAAAAATCAATTCATTGATCAAAATGTCACGTTCCAGAAAGTATATGACGATCGATGCATAATACTCCGTAGAAAGACTCAATTTCCTTAATTTTGAAGAATAATTAATTTAAAGGACACAATGTATTTATATATAGAGATAGGTAAGAGAGATCGAAAGGAAACTTAACCCGAAAAGGAAAGAAGCAATTCAACTTGATTGGAAAAGGGAAACTTGATTAGTTCGCTCATTAATTGCAGCATGTTCGAGTTCGGCCAAATTAAAAGTCGTATGCGGTTCGAGTTCTAGTTTATTTAGATGTTTTTACACCGTTTTTCAATCCAACTAGACCAGACCAGTTCAGATGAGATCAGATTTAAATAGATCAGATTAGACTAAACAATTTCAGTCGAGTAACAGTGGCGGATTTGGGGGGAGTGTGCCCAGGCCGTTGCCTAGGGCCTCACCCGCCAAGGGGCCTCCCAAAAACACATTATTAGTGTTACTCCGTATTATGTAAGAGTAATAATTCAAAATAATTGGAAAATGAGAATAGTCAATTGGTCAAATGGTCAATTGGGGCAAGGCTGCAAATTGGCTGCCGCAATTCCCGAAGTGAAAACCCCAACCCGCAATCCTCCTTCAAAAGCACACCACCTTAGCCCACACTTATATTATACCTTAGCTCATTTTAGGCCTAAAATACACAATGAGGAATACAAAACAAGGAGTACTAGATTCGAGAACACCTTGGATTTTTTTTTCTTAGGATTTGGTGTAAATTCCAAATTTTTAAATATGGAATAAAAGTGATTGATCCAAATGAATGTCTAAAGTTAAATATTTAGGTGACAACTCCGGTACCCTCCTAAAAAATGGGGTACCGTACCTACCATTCATTTGATTGGACCACATCACCTTATCATTTTTAATTTAGATTTAAATAATTTAACTGCTACATTCTCATTGGTCCATTTGAACAAAGGTATGGTACCTTATGGGTACCATAGAATCTACCAAATATTTAAACTTATGATTAATAGCTACTACTTACATTTCAAAAAGTTTGTCATATTGACTTTTCTTGATCAATAACAACAAATTTAGATAATCATTTTGACTATATATGATATCTATATACGAAGTATAATTTATAAATTTTATACCTTTATGAAATATTTTGAATAAGAAATATTTTGATAAAATTTTCATATTCAAAATATATTTTCGTAGTAAAAAATATCTTTAGTCAAATTTGATTGTCATTAACTAAGATAAGTCAATTTGGCAAACCTTAGCTTTTTGTGATGAAGGAAGTGTGATTTTAAAATTGTGGGTTAATATTGCTATATTGGCATTGTATGAATTGGATGATTAAGTCACAAAATAAATAATTTTATGGTATCTGTACTTGTAAAATAGGGAGTAGTTATTTTGTTTGATTTGTCATTGTATTTAGAAATTTTAGCTTTTCTCTAAACTGATTTCTTTGTGACTTTTGTATTATGGTATATCATTTTTCAATATAATTTGTGCATAGTAAATACTACTTATTTTTCTGCCTAGGGCCTCAAATATACTAAAGACGCCCCTGTCGAGTAAAAACATCCTTAATTGGTTTACATTGACGTGCTCGGAATATTTATATCGTATGGATAGTATAATACTCCGTATACGATTCAAGTACAATTCGAAAGGTGGCACATTCCCATTGACTAGCCACATAAGCATTTGTAACAAAAATGAAATATACTCCAATGATTAGCTATAATTTTTTTCTCTGCATTTATTATATACTAAAGTATTTATAAGCATGAATGACCAAACAATAGTGAATAAGCAAAGCTTAAAAACAGGAAAACAAGCTAAGTTGAGCCAACAATCTAGTAAGCTGGTTACAATGGTGAATATGCAGACTCAAGATCATTTCCATAGCTTAGAGAAACAGAGTATTTTTCAGTTTGGCTCTGCTAGTAAAAACACCCAGAAACAACAGCTTGTAGTAGCAAAGGATCAAACTTTAAATGAAGCACCGGGTGGGGATACGAATAGCATACCAGCAAGGGAGTCTGAGGAAAGGCAAGACCAGGTTATGGACTTTGCCATGAATACCGATACAGTGAAGTGGGGAGGTTCCACTCCCGCAACCCCTAATCAGTCTACATGAAACTTTTGTCCTGGAATTGCCGTGGTATTGGAAATAGGAGGGCAATAAGACACGTTAAGGAGATCATTAATACGTATAAGCCTGATATTCTAGGCCTCCTTGAAACAAAAATTGAGGATCCGAATAAAATGGTTATTATGGCCAGGAAAATGGGAATGACTAATTGGGAGTATATTCATCCGATAGGTTTAGCTGGGGGAATTCTTCTACTCTGGGATCCAAAAAAAATTACTCTTTCAATAATGGAGAGCTCGTCTCAAGCTATTCACTGTAATGTGAAAGAAAATGACTATTGTGTTATCTGCTCACTGGTTTATGTTCGACCAAATGCTGCAGCAAAGGAGAGATGTTGGGCTGAGTTGCGAGATTTCCATTTGAGGCATGCTGGACCGTGGGTTGTCTTGGGTGATTTCAATGACACTATATTGGCGGAAGAACAATGTGGGGGTAATATTTTATGGAATGCTATGGACAGATTTCGGGAGCATCTTGGATTTTGTGATCTTTTTGATGTGGCTACTGAAGGGGCTCCCTTTACTTGGATTAAAAGAGAAGGGGCACATGTGATTTTACGAAAGAAACTGGATAGAGTGTTGTGGAATATGGATGCAAATACATTATTTCCGGAAGGGAAAGCCTGCAATCTTCCCAGGCTTCATTCTGATCATCATCCCGTGTTATTTTCAAGTACCATGGATGATGGCAGAAGGAGAAGGAACCGGCCAGTTCGTTTTGAGGCAGCTTGGTTAATGCACGAGGCTTTTGATCAGGTGTTTAATACCACTTGGAGAGCAAATTCAGAATGTATTGAAGATGCAATTAACCAGGTCATGATTGCCAGTAAGCAATGGAGCAATGAGGTTTTTGGTGACATCTTTCGCCAGAAACGTCACCTGCGCGCCAGGATTCAAGGGATCCAAAACTCTCGCAACTACTCACATTCCCACTCTGAACAACTGCTAGAGCGTCAGTTAGAAGCAGACTACAACAACATTTTGGATAAAGAAGAAATGCTTTGGTTTCAGAAGGCTCGGGTGGAATGGATTAAAGGAGGGGATCGCAACACTAGTTATTTTCATAAATCTGCAATGATTAAAAGAAATAAGAATGTGATAGGGCGTCTTAAAATCAGTGGCATGTGGACTACCAATCAAGAAGATATGGCTATTCACATTCATGAATACTTCTCTGGCTTATTCGGGGCGTATATCAGTACTGAGAATCAACATATAACTGCTTTGGACTGTCCAAAAATATCGAATGAGATAAGGGATGGCTTGATGAAAGAGGCTGATCTTCAGGAAGTGAAAAACACAGTGTTTAGCCTGAAGAGTTTTAGTAGCCCGGGACCAGATGGTTTGCAGGCAGTAGTGTATAAGGAATTTTGGGACACGGTTGGTACTACACTTACGCAATTTGTTAATAATGCTCTTCGCACAGGCCACATTCCTTCTACAATCTTGAAAGCTAATATGGTGTTGATACCAAAAGAAGAGGTACCTGAAGAAGCTGGTAGTTTTAGACCCATCACATTACTCAATGTAATCTATAAAGTGGTCTCTAAACTTCTAGTTAATCGAATGAGGAGATGGATTGGGCAGATAATAGGTCCGTTTCAGAGCAGTTTTGTACCGGGTAGAAGCACGACAGATAATATTATTCTCACCCAGGAAGTAGTGCACTCGTTGGAGGCTAAGAAGGGAAGGAAAGGGGGTTTGATTATGAAGTTGGATTTACAGAAGGCATATGATTGTTTGAGCTGGGATTTTCTTGAGAACACTCTGACAGATTTTGGTTTTCCCTTGGAGTTTAATAGGCTGGTTTTGAATGCAGTTAGAGGAACGAGGATTAGTATTATTTGGAATGGCGATATTCTGGAAGAAATTCAGCCGAGGAGAGGTCTTAGACAGGGAGACCCGTTGTCTCCATATCTATTCATTTTAGTGATGGAAAGGTTGTCACACTTGATTACAAAGGAAGTCAATGCTAACAGGTGGAGACCAGTAAAGGTGGGTAATCCTGGTGTGAATATATCTCACCTCTTTTTTGCAGATGATCTGATGTTATTTGGGCAGTCAACTAATAGTCAAATAGAGGCTATGAAAAAAATTATGCAGATTTTTTCATCCAGTTCGGGTCTGAAAATAAACAAGGATAAATCTAGAGTATATTTTTCTCCTAATATAGATGGGAGCCTAAAGAGTAGTCTCCAAAATCTTGCTGGTATTCAGACCACAACTGATCTTGGGAAATACTTGGGGGCTCCTATTATTCACCGACGTAAATCAAAGGAGAAGTTTGCATTTATTTTGGATCGGGTAAGGCAGAGACTAGCTTCCTGGAAGGAGAAGGTCCTAAACTTGGCAGGTCGGAAAACTTTGATTCAATCTGTTACACAAGCTATTCCGCAACATGTAATGCAAGGTTCCTTACTTCCTCTGAGCATATGTGATACTATTGATCAAATTAATAGAAACTTTCTTTGGGGAACTAAGGGAGGAACTCCAAAGACTCATCTTGTTAAATGGGAGGAGGTTTGTAAACCTAAGAAATGGGGTGGTTTGGGTCTTCGACAAGCTCGAGATAATAATTTGGCTTTAATAGCCAAGTTAGGCTGGGATATTATAATGGATTCTGAGAAATTGTGGGTCAAAGTCGTTAAGGCAAAATATCTCAGAAAGTCATCCTTTTGGGAAGTACCTAGGAATAACAGAGCTTCTCACTTTTGGCGGGATCTTTTACGCAGCAAAGATATCCTTCGTATGGGACTAGGTTGGGAGGTGGGTAATGGGAAAGATATTTCATTTTGGTTTGATCATTGGGTAAGGGATAGACCCTTACACGAGGAAATTGGCTCTCCGCTTTCTGCATCAATGATGGGGCTAAAAGTGGCGGATCTTCTCATAACTAATGGTGTTTGGAATCTGGACAAACTGGAAACCTTGCTTCCCGAGGATGTGGTAGAGGATGTCAGGGCTATTCCTACTTCTATGGAGGAAGACGTCAGAGATAGCATTTACTGGAGACTATCACCGACAGGTGAATTCTCAGTTAAATCGGCTTTTGAATCTTTATTTTTGGAGCAGGAAATTGACGATTGGAGCTGG